ACCTCCAATTCACAGGAAGAAGAAACTATGGATATTCAAGACATTATTTTTTGAGCCATAAGCTAACCTTGATGTAATGACAGCTCTGCGGTGAGCATTAGCCAAACTCAACACTCAGTGCTTCTGCCTCGCATATATAAGTCATTCCTGCACAAACACCTCATCAAGAAGGCACCAAACCGGGGCAGCCCCCCTTCCACCAGCCTTCCTAGACAGCTGCTGAGCTGCTGACCTCATGTCTGATACTGCAGCTTTGGCAAGGACGCTGTCTTGCTCTTCCCAGACCCATTGTTGCCTTAAGGGTCTGTTTGAGTCAACTTAAAACAAAAATAAAGAAAAAAAGACAGAGAAAATGTAAAATTGAACTAAATTGAGAAAAGACAGCGTCAACTCACTGGGTTGCACCTGGATTTTATGCGTCTCTTGTGATCGTGGGTGTCTCGTGGGAAGGAAGAATAGAGTGCTTTGTCCTGGGAAAAGTTTAACATCGCAGAATTCATCACAGTTCAAAGAGACCTGAAAGTTCAGCGTCTCAGAGCAGAGAATAATAGACACAACGCTTGAAGAGCATTTTACGGGTGCCAAAGCCTTTTCCCATTTCTCAGCTGAGCCTCCCCAGCAGTCATGTCAGGTAAGATAGTGTCATTACCCCCTTTTAGTTAGGGACAAGGAGGTCAAAACTCGGGCCATTTGCAGAGTTACTAAGTGGCAGCCTCCCATTACTGGCATCAGGTTGGTTGAGTCCAAATTCCAAGCTCGTCCCACCTGCCACATTGTAAACCACACCCAGCTCTATGGGGACACCTGAAATGTGTCATGGCTACTTCTCAAGAAGCTTTGGAGCCAGAGGCCAGTAGGGTTCCTTGAAACCCAGCTAACGAATATGTGAGCCCAAGAGCCTGGCGGGTTCCCCGCTAAATGTCTGTGGATTTTTACAGAGATGCCTGTGTATCCATAACATGCTGCATTTGTATAGAGCAGGGGTGTCAAACTCATTTTCACCGGGGGCCACATCAGCCCACGGTTGCCTTCAAAGGGTCAAATGTAATTTCAACTCCTTAACTGTTAACGAGTGGTTACATTTATACAGTCCTAAAATTATTTCGGCCCTTTGAAGGCAACCGCGAAGCTGACGTGGCCCCCAGTGAAAATGAGTCTGACACCCCTGGTATACAGCATCCTGCAGTCAGCCGTCTACTGAGAGGCTTAACCTCTGCAGAAGGCTTAGCCAGTTTGGTTGCAGCCCCGGTCTGCATTAGCAGCGTTTCAAAGTTCATGAAGACAGACTGAAACCAGCACAGGGGCTGCAGCCCTCACCTCCTGTGTTATTTCCCGCCCTAGCTGAAATGCTGCCCTCATAGTGCCCAAACCTGCAGTTATCAAAGACCCACCGTGCTGCCGAGCTGACTCCTGCAAAGCCACAAAGCAAATCGATCGGAAAGCGTGTCCCGGAGGATGCGCAGGGAGCGCACACAGCCAGCAGGTCCGCGATGAAAGCCTGCCCAAGAAAGGGGTGGGAAGGTCCGGTGAATCGCCCGTGCCTCCCCAGAGTACCTCAGACCCCTGTCGCATGCTTCCCAAGGAGGAGCCCATTAAGAAGAGCCTCAGACGAGAAAAGTCTCTGCCCAGGTTTCTCCCAGCAGCAGAAGTAACATCACAGGAGACAATTAAAAGACCCCTCGCCTCCTGTTAGCATCGCCCTCCCAGGGCGGAAGCCTGCCATAGAGACGACGAGGGAGACCTACACGCTATTTATAATAAATGGCGTTATGGATCAATTTAAAAATCAATAGCTTTTTTTTTAACAGTGAGCTTTCTTGTTCACAGTCTAGCCCTCAACAACGAGGGTGAAAGAGACTGCTGTTCACACAAGTGAGGAAGGAGAACCCAGAAAGAACACAGTCCCTTGTGTTGCAAATCCAGCTGCCGTAAAGAACTTCCTGTCTGGGGAAGGACCGTTCTTTGCACACGTGTTCTGACTGCCCCGTGACAACCTCTCTTCCCTGGGCAAACTGGAGACGGGCAACGGTTTCAATATTGCAGCTCTGCCGTCACTTCTGTGAAAAGCATGTGAAAAGTGCCTACGCCACTTTGGTGGGCACAGCCGGCTGGCTGGCGAGGTTGCAGGCCCGGAGCCAAACCCCAAGTAGCCACTCACTGCCTTTTTCTCCCCAAGGCTCCTGAAGTTCTGCTGATTGTGCCCCAGAGGCCCCGGCTCTTCCTGAATGCAGCATGAGCTCACGCGGCAGCTCTGGGCACACACGGCCTTGGCAGAAGGAGCCCAGCAGAGTCAGAGGGCCTGCTCCCCTCCCGTGGCCAGGAGGAGTGGGCCAGGCTGGCTTTTAGAAGAGCCAACCCGCAGAGCTCGGGTCCCAGCCCTTTGAAAGCCCTTCCCTGTAGCAACATGACTGGGGGGCTGGTTTTCCCCCTTCCTGCTGCTGTCTCTGCCATCAAAAGGAAGAAAATTCTGGGCCTGGAAAAGTGGTTGCTGTGGGCTAGAGCCCAGCACAGCACGGCAGACACCCAGACATCTGTCAAGAGCAAGTATTGACATTTATTGACTGTCTGCAGACAGAGGCTGCATCAAGAGCTCCGGGGGTTACTGAGGATCAGCCTCAAGGGAAGGCCCAGAAATACCTCATTACCTGTGCAGAACCCTCTGCACACCCGAGCCCTGTGCTGGAGGGCTGGCCGAGATAGTACAGTCATACCAGGCACAACACAGATTCAACAGCTGAGATCAACATGTACCGTAATCAAGCAAGGGCCCATTGGCCCAGTGGTTCTCAACCAGGGCAGTAGTACCCCTCATGGGCCATTCAGAATCTCAGGATGTGGGTTTTGGGTGGTCATAGTATCTGGGAGATACTATTGGCCTTTAGAGGGTAAGCACTAGGGATGCAAAGTCTCTGGCAAGGCAGGAGACAGCCCTGCACTAAGAACTGTCCTGCCCAAAATGTCACAGTGTCCTTGTTGAGAAAACACAACACCCACTCTCCTTAACTCTCAGCCTGCTTTTGTTTCATCTTCCTTGAATTAATTTCGCAGTCTCCTGCAATGCCCTACACTTTGAGGAACTCATTAGCTCACATGAGCAGGCTGTTTGTTTGGCCATGGTACTCGCTGGCACGGGAAGCTGTGTGGCATAGTCTCAAAAGCATGGGCTCCCATGAGCCTTACAATGTTAAAGCCCACTTGTGCGACCATGGTCAGCTGCCTCTCTGTACACATGGAGAATAATTTGCTCCTCCCTCATAGAATTGTTATGAGGACTCAATGAGATCGAGTCTTTACAGGGCTGTGTTCAATAAACCTAGCATTTTTACCATTAGAGCACTTTTAGCCCAGGAATCTGGGTGTAAACGTTTTGGCTGCAGACACATGGGGTAAAGTGGAATGAAGATTGACAGGGATGCGGAAAACTGAGCTTCAGACCCCAGATCTGTGTTTTTACCCATGAGGCCTTAGACCAATCAACCTCCCAGAGCCCCGTCTTTCCACACTTGGAAACGTTAACAATAACAGTAAATCCTTCACAGGGTGATTGTGAGGATTAACTGAAATTAGGAAGTGAGAGTGATTTGACTGTGGCAAAGGGTAGAACAAATATCAAGTATCGGTCACACATTGCGTCCATGTAGAGTCATCCAAAGCTAGAATATCACACCCACATGTTGGCGTTTCCGCCTTCACTTAGGATGACATCATTTCCTCTGTGATTAAAAGTAATCAATGCAATAACATATAGGGAGATGTTCCCCCTCACTAATAATAAAAGATGCATATTAAAATATCAAGAGACCATTTTTCACATAACATGTTGGCAAAGATTCAAAAGGCAGATGATGCTCAGTGTCGGTGAGGGAAACAGGCTTCTTATATATAAACACTGTGGGTGGGAATATTAATTGGTACAATATTTCTAGAAGACAATATGGAAAGACATACCAAAAATTATATATATGCATAGATATATATAGAGGAAATAATTACTACTCACAAAAAATGTGCAAACATGTTTATTGCAGCATTTCTTACAATGGATAAAGATTGAAAATAGTTCTTTATATGTTCTTCAACTGATGATTGATTAGATAAATAATGCCACATCCACATATTGGAATATAAGCAGTCATTACAAAATAGTCTTGTGGAAAGATGTTTGTATTAAATTACTGAGTGATAAATAGGAAATTATTGGAAAGTACTATGGTACAATCCCATTGTTGCAAGAAAAAAACACAAATATTTTATAGCTACATTTCAAAAGTCTAAAAAAAATACAGTAGACTCAGTGGTTACATACAGAGAACAGAATGGGAGTTGAGAGAGAAATGGTTTTCAATTTACGAGGTCTGTCCAGAAAAAGTCCAACCACTGTTAATATAACAAAAACAGTTCGCATGACATCGATGTAACCTGGCAGCCCAGGAGAGTGGACTGGGATGCGCATATGTGAACAAGGATGACTTCACTGTACTAGTCAGTGGGGGTGGTAGATGCTGTTGAGTGAGCACATGTACTGTGTGGCCATCACATTCAAAATGACTGTGTGAGTAGGGTAACAAACCTGTATCAGGTTTTACATTAAGCTTGAACGAACATTCCTCTGTGGAAACTATTCGGATGATTCAGAAGTCTGCAGCTGTGGGCAATTGGTGATTGGCAGCTTCATCATGACCAGGTGACTACTAGTGCATCACGTCTCATACAGAGATTTTTGGCAACACGTCAAATCACCCAGGTGACTCATGCCCCCTATAGACTATATTTGGCACTCTGCAACTTCTGGCTTTTCCCAAAACTAAAATCACCTTTGAAAGGGAAGAGATTTCAGACCATTGATGAGATTTAAGAAAACATGACGGGGCAGCTGATGGTGATTGGGAGAACTGTGTGAGGTCCCAAGGTGCCTACTTTGAAGGGGACTGAGGCATCATTGTCCCATGTGAAATGTTTCTTGTATCTTTTATCTTCTTCAATAAATGTCTCTAGTCTTCATGCTACATGGCTTGATACTTTCTGGACAGACCTGGTGTAGCTAAAGGTACATTCTACCAGAAGGCCAAATGGTTAAGTGTTAAAATTCAGCCAGAGAGAAACCCAAAATGTGTGCATAATTTACATTACAACCTTATTATTGCAATTTTACATTAAAACTACATTGAAATTTGGGGGGCTAACAGAGAGCATAACACAATTTTTCTGGGTCGTCCACTTAAAGGGACGTTCCGTGGTCTCTCCACTGTGCATCTGTGTCACCGAAGAGAGGGTCACTTGCAGCCGAGGGAGGCGAGAAGCAACACATTTTGAGGAGAGTCTCATTTTTCTCCAACAGTGTCTTGCTTCTCCATTCCTTTCCTGTTCTCTGTTATGTCGAATCCGCCTCATTTATCACAGATGCTGTGTGCGATTTCGGAGCGTTCCCTCCTTTTGAAATGCTCAGGTAATCAAGTTGACACTCTGTCTTTATTCATCCTCACAAATGTGGAGGATTCTCAGATGCGGCTTTCCCTGGAAAGATCCACAGCCTAAATAGAATTAAACATTTAAAAATTAAAAACGGTTTTGAAAGGTTGTTTTGCTCAATGTCATGAATGTTATTACAACAAATAATTCTATAAAATGAGACTTAATGACATAATCTAATTGTCTTAGTCAACTAAGCCCGTAATAACAGATTGTCATGGATTTAAGCAGCAAACATTTATTTCTCAGTGTTCTGGTGGCTGGAAGTCCAAGAGCAAGGTGCCAGCAGATGCACTGTCTGGTTGAGGACCCTCTTCCTGCTTTGCAGACAGGGTCGTCTTGCCCTCAGACAGCAGAACAGGAGAGTGGGGTCTCTGGTCTTTCACCAGGGAACGACTAACCCCATCGTGGGACCCCACACTCAGGACCTCACCTGCCCTTATTGGTTCCCAAATTCCTGACCTCTAAATACCATCAGACCGAGGCTTAGGGTTTCAACATGAATTTGGGGGGAAATACAAACATTTAGTCGATAGCACTAATCTGTGTTTTTATCTTGTTATTTTTTAGATTTTTTATAATATTTTGGTTCCCAAAAAGGATGTGAAGACATAATATTTTTCCCAAAGTGTTCTACCTAGCATATGCTCTCCTACCATTCATAGTAAGGGTCAGTTATTCCCCTGTTTGATAGACTGTTTGAAAGTCCAGAACCCTTATATGTAAAATTAACAACCTTCACACTCATACCTACGGCAGAACTTAGCTCTTGCAATAACAAATGCACATTTCCCTTCATCTGATTGATAAGATTTCAACAGGTAAAGCACAAATGAGATTACCACTCCAAGTTACATCTGGAGGGCTTGCCCCTACTTCAAAATTAATGTTTAACTATTACCAAACCTGAATGCCATGCCTTGTTCTCATCCCCACCATTACTGTGATTAGACATGAAGCATTCACACGATCGCTGATCACACACAGGTTCCAGGATGCCAGAAGTGGCATTGTAGTTGGTTGGCATCAACCATCTGGCTTTCCAAAAGCCAAGCCCAAAGCTAAAGCCAAATACCAGACATGGGAAGAGCACCAAGGCCAAAGTGGACCTGCAGTGCATTTCTAACTTATTCTTGTCACACTGTTTGAGTTTTTTTATAAGAAGCATGTATTTCTTTAGTGATCGAATGGATATTTCTGTTAAAATCTTATACAAAAGTATTAGCACCTCCTCTCCCCACCCCCACACAAAAAAAACTTATGGGCAAGAACATTAGATCAGACCCATAAATAGTTCCCAACCTTTTTTGAATGGTGGTTGTTGAAGATTATATGGTCTCAGAGCTTGCGGTCCTCTCGGAGGTCAATGGCACCCACTGTGCCTCCCGCTCAGAAGCCCTGGCGGACTCAGCTCTTCCCCCAGCGTCGGCGTCCCTCTCTGCACACCGCACTTCCATGTGCCACAGAGGCTGCTGGCTCGGTCGCAGGTCAGACTGCATCCAGCCCCCGGGCCACGCTGTCTAGGACTTCTTTCTCAGACAGAGTAAAGCCTAACTCCTCAACGGCAACTTTTAGCATCTTCCAAAAGATGGCCTCACCTAAGCTTTCCCATGTCATCACATGCCACCCTCCTCCGGCAAACCACGCCCCTGGTACCCCAGATTCTGTTCCTCCTGCTCTATTCACCTCACTGCTCTTCCTGGTGAACTTGTACTCATCCTTCAAGATCCAGCATCACCCTCACCGGCTCCGTAAAGTCCTCTCCTGCCATGACCCAGCATTATTCTTCTGTCTTTGCTGCCAGTATAGACAGAAAGTTCCTCCTCACAAATAGGCAAATTACTGAAAACGGGAACCACATCATTATTATCTCTAATTCCCCTCCTTCTGCACAAAGGTAGCCAACACCTCCTTCCAGAATAGGATTTCTGCAAATGTTGAAACAAGGAATGAGCGAATGAGTATATATTAGTCCCAAATTTTCGTGTGAATTTTACACCTACCCCTTGATATTAGAGGAAATGTTCTGGATAAATTGCCAAGCCAGAGTCAGAAGTCACTGGGCCATCTGTTTTCAAACCTCATTCTCCAGGGACCCCAGGTTCACAGTAGAGGTGGAGGGCCCCTGTGGGACCCTCCCTACCCACCCACGTGGTCCAGAGCAGATCCTCTCTGCTCCTCACACCCAGGTTCCCAGGGATGGTGTGTTTGCAGGGAGGATGTGGGGGAAGTTGTTGCAGCTGTGAGGAAGAGGCTGAAACACAGCTGTCTTAGCCTGAGGGGCCACTGTTGGATGAGCAAGCCCAACCTGCGTTCACCTATAATGTGAGAATGTCATTGAAGTAAACGGTGTTGGCCTGAGAGTAGAGCTGCAGCTTCCTCTGAGACCGCCCATGCGCCCTGGGCGGGTGCCAGTCTCCCCACCCACCTATAAAGCAGTGCTACCAGTGCCCGCCTGGGGGTGGAGAGAGAGGAGTTGAGGCATAACAAACAAAGTCTGTAAAGTGGACTCATCTTAAGTTTGCAGAGCGATGGGTTTCAATTATGCGTACCCTGTGCAACCTCTACTCAACTCAGGATCCAGAACCATTCCTTTCCAGCACCTTCCAGGATGCCTTCGTGCCCCTTCTCACGTATGGAACCCACCCCCCAGAATGTTAACACTACTCTGACCTCTTTGCCCATAGTTCAGTATTGCCTGCTTTTAAACTCCATATAAGTTGCGTCCTAACTGTGTATTCTTTTGTCTCCTTGCATTCCACATAATATCTGGAGTTTCATCTAAGCTACCATATGTTTTCTTTAGTCATTGAAACAGCCAAATAAAATATCAGAGAAGGAAAGAATTTAGAAAGCACAAAACAAAAATATTAGCTGAGTCTTAAGTTGTCTGTAGATTATGAGCTTCTTGGGAGTCAAAAGGATGTCTTATTCACTTGTTATATTTCCATGGTTGGATTGAAAATTATTATGATTGCATAGACCACCTGGCCTTTTATATCCCATCTTCTCTTTACCTGCAGCCTAATCTCCCACCCCACCCCTGCCAGCTCCCAACACCAGCTGCCCCCACCCCTCTGTCTGTTGTCTTTCCTCTGTGGCCTGTGCACAGGGTCTCTCCCCTTTTGCAGCTCTGTTGCTTCCCTCTCCAGACGCCAGAATGACTCACCAGGTGGAGAGAAGGGAGCTGTGAGGGAGTAGGGCTGAGCGGCTCAGAGGCCTAGACAGAAAACGGAGAGGACTCCTGGCCAGCCCAGAAGAAGAGCGGGAAGCAGCACGCCTAGGCTCCGCGGTCAGACAGGAGCCAGAGGCCGGCCCAGCGGGGACGGGCCAGGCTCCAGATCTGGGAGCCGCAGCCCCGGTCTTCGCCGGGGGTACACAGCCTTCCCTCCTCGAGGTGCACCGTGGCCAAGGTTAGAGCTCACCCCAGCTGTCAAGGCGCACTGTCACTCCAGCTGTTCCTGAGCAATGGATTCCTGTTGCCAAGATATGGATTTGGTTTTAATAACAGTTAGTGCAAACACTGTAAATTTACTGCTGCGAGAGAGAGTTTTTGAAAACGTCCACTCTGGCTATAATTTTTCAGCCGCGCCAGCTGTTTGTGCTCGGCTCATACCTGACATGGTGCTTTGAAATAGCAATCACTGTATTTATAAGAAGGCAAGGACTCATAAATATGTCACAAGTGGAATATACAATGCCATATTTCACCATTTTCTATTTTAAAATTGTGAGTTATGGCTGCAGAAATGCACGCCCATTAAAGGTGATATGATGTATTTTCTGCCCTGTTCAGGAGTCCATCCATCATCGAGACAATAAAGAAAACCGCACTTACTTTTTTCCTGTCGTCTGTAATTTATGATCCCCAAAAAGCTGTAACCTTTTGGCAGGCTTTGCAGAAACCACTGCACTGTTAGCAACTAAATAACCTTTTATAAGGTTTTAAATGTGTTGCAACAGTCTCAATGCACTTGCTGTATTGATCTAGAAGATCTTGGGGGAAAAAAAAGGTAGGGAGAGGAATGGAAGATGATCTATAACAAGATCGATAACGGCATATAGATTGTTGAAAGATGCGTCTAATGATTTTTGCCAGCCATCATCTTTCAGCACGCCACGCCCTATCTCTTAGGCTTTGGTCTTGGCTGGAATTGATTGACCTTGCTTCCCTGCTGCTGCCTCCTCCCTCCCTTCCTCCTGCCGAGCAGCCAGATGGGGAGAAGCAGAATGCATTGGCCACCGCAGGTTATTTGCAGAAAAGCTCTGAGAATCACAGAGCTGGAAGGTGCTGTCAAGACGATCTCAGTGCACAGATGAGGAAACTGAGGCCCAGCAAGCATCCGCATCTTGCCCAAGGTCAAGCGGCAATCTAGGAGCAGAACTCAGATTCCGATTCCTGGTTTTCCGTCCCTCCTTTCCCAACTCTACCACTCCACATGTCACGTCTCATGTGTGCCCCAGAGGAAGAGGGTGTGCATGGAGCTGGGAAATGCATTGCGATGAGCTTTGCAGAGCCTGCTGGCAGTGGGGTGCAGCAGGAGGATCAGATAGAAGCAGGCTAAATCTGGCCCCGCCTCCCACTCCTCCGGGCAGTAACTAACCTACCTGGATCTCTGCTGCTCCACCTGTCAGATGGCAATGGTGATCTACCTTGTAAGGGGGTAGAGAAGACTAACTAGATCTGGTGTCCACGAGACACGGAGCTAAAAGCCTGGCATGTGGCAGGTGAACAGGAAAAGAAAGGGGCTTCTGTCCTGCCCCACTCACCTCCTTCAGCATTCTCTGGGTTCTCCCTCCTCGCCCTTCGCCCCACCCCCACCCTCCAGCACAGTGGTGATGAAATGTTCAGGGAAGAGCCAGCTATGGAAGAAAGTAGGAATCATCTTTCCAACCACAAGGTCTGTGGCACAGCAGTATTTCCTTGACTGTCCCAAATGAGAGCAGCTCAGGTGAACACAATTATTTCTCACTTTCTGAGCAGAAGCTGAGCCAAGCTCCCGGGGTGTAGAGACCAGGTCTGTGCAGTTAGTTCCCTGTGGAGGTGCCCAAGGACAAGAGGCCACGGGTAATGGAGATTTTAACCCTATACTCTTGGCAGGAAAAATTTGCAGGAAAATAATGTTCTTGTGAAGCCACCAGACTGTGGTGCAATGGATGTATCTCAGGGGACTCTTCTCCCAGACAGGCCTGTATTCTCAAAAGTCAGTGGCTGCAGCCCCCAGAGCATGCTACTTTGGAGCAGGTGTCAAAAAATGTTGTGCTGCAGGACAAATCTGGCCATGACCAGTGCGTGTGAATCAAGTTTCATTTTCACATTGCCATGCCCACTCGACTAGGTGTCATCAGGGACTGGTCGGAGCTGCCAGCACAGAGTGAGCCTGGGGAGACTGGGAGGCTCGCCCAGCCTCCAATCCTCACCGACCGAGCCCTCTCCAAAACCCCTTCTCTAGAGTGTCCCCAGCAATGCCACATGCCAGAGGCCGCATCCCAGTAGAAAGAAGGCAATCAATGATTATTATATGTATGGCAATTTCTAGTTTACAAGAGCGTTCACCAATCTGATGTGACTACACCGCCCAGCAGTCCTGTGCGATGGAGATCCCGGCGGTTTCTGTGTTACAGAAGAGCAAACGGAGGCCCAGAGCCATGCGGGGAGTCAGAGGCAGGGCTGGATCCCGAGCACGCATAGTGTGCTAAGAGGCCCAGGGGTACGTGCTAAGAGGCCCAGCTTCCCCACGCCCCCGTCCTGGAACGGAAAACCCCAGTCCCCACGGGTGCCCCTCCAGTGCTGCGGCTCACCTGCTGATCACCAGGAAGGTCACTTAGCCCGTCTACACCTTAGTGTCCTCATATCCAAAGTGAGGAGTCACTAAAACACTCATTCTGGAAGATGCCGAGGGACTCTCCAATCACACAGGCACCCTGTGAAACATTTCTGGAGCAAAAGCCCTGTTTCTCTCACCCAGTCTGGCACCCGCTTCCCCACAAAGGGGCCATCTGAGAAGCTAGTGAGGGGGGCCCCCCCGCAGACAGGAAAGAGGGGGAAGAAGGCCGCACTTCATGTACTGGCCTTGCTAAAGCCTGCTGAGTGCCCTGCACCCCACATCCACGTCAGAGCACACAGACAGTAATACCGCAGGACTCCTCCCCAGCTCCTGGTCTTGGGCCCCCAGAGGAAGAGCAGTCTGCAGGGTGCAGGGATTTTTTCAGACCAACCACCTGTCGGTGGGGCTGCCCCTCCCACCTGTGAGGGAGGGCAGGGCAGGGGCAGGTAATGACAGGGGCAAGAGCAGTCGTCCCTGCCACATGTCCTCCCATCTTTCTGTGTCGAAGTCACTGTCTTTCTCTCTCTCTCCCTGAGCTCACCCAGAGCACCCCCCCCATCATTATTAACATTATAAATAAAAACGAGAGGCAAGTTATTAAATGTAAAATATGCAGAGTACCTCCCAGAACTCGCAGGGCAGTTCATAAACGTGACGGCTTAATTTTGCTGCTGATCCAGCCAGCTGATGAAGTATCTCCGGCCCATGGGCTAATTGAAGTTGTTAACGAAGCAGAGGAGAGAGAGGATTGGGGGCAGCTTCTGTCCTGCCTGTGGGGATCAGTACAGCAGCCCTGGGCGGAGACGGAGTCCACACACTCCGCCAGGTCACTGCAGCCACCCACTCCGGGGACCTGAGAATTCCCGAAAAGGGAGCTCCTTCGCCACATCCACACCTCTGCCCATCAGCGGAGCTCCCGGAGCCCCACGCCTGGAGCCCACTTTAAGAGCCTTGTTCTTCCCTAGAGGAAAGTATTTCCAAACAAGGAATGGGGTAGGTTCTAGAGAGGATTGATTCGAGGACTGGAAACACTCTGGCCTTCAGGGGCGCTTGCCCTCAGGACCCAGGCTGAGTGGAAACAGCCCAAATGTCCATCAGCAGATGAACAGACGAACAAATGTGGCAAATCCACACAATGGAATATCATGCAGGCATAAAGTGGAAATAAGGACTGATATGCTACAACGTGGACAGTTCTTTTTTTTAACAGATTTTATTTCTTTAATTTTAGAGAGAGGGGAAGGGTGGGAGAAAGAGAAGAAGAGAAACATCAATGTGTAGTTGCCTCTCGTGTGCTCCCTACTGGGGTCCTGGCCTGCAACCTAGGTATGTGCCCTGACTGGGAATCGAACCAGCGACCCTTTGCTTCACAGTCTGGTGCTCAATCCACTGAGCCACACCAGCCAAGGCAATATGGACAATTCTTGAAAACATGATGCAAAGTGAGAGAAGGCAGGCACAAAGGTCACACAGTTTATGGTTCCATGTATATGAACTGTCCAGAATAATCAGGACAATTGTGATAGTATAAACAATAGTCTATAACTTTAAAAAATGCCCAGAGTAGGTAAATCCATACAGACAAAAAGTAGATTAGCGGTTGCCAGGGGCAGGGGCAGGGGAGAATGAGGAGTGACTGTTTAATATGTATAGGTTTTATTGGTGGGGTGATAAAAATGTTTTGGAGCTAGACAGAAGTGGTAGTTGCACAATATTGTAAATTACTAAATGCTTCAGCATTGTTCACTTTAAGAAGATTAATCTGGTGTTATATCAATTTTACCTTAATAAAAACAATGAAGAAAATAAAAATCCAGGTTAAGGTTGGTGTCACCCTCCACATCCATGAAACTGGCCTCTGATTTTTCAGTGGGAAACCCCGTCAAGACCTCGCTCATGATCCGGGCTCCCGGTACAAAAAGGGGCGGCCAGTTCGCCTCTGACTTCGCCTCTTGAACCCACCTAAGAGCCAGAAACAATGGCCAGCCTTTTGCCCTCCCTGGCAGTCATGGGGCAGAAGCTAGGGAGACGTGGGAGAGAGAGCAGAAAGAACCAAGAGTCTGAGGTCGAAAGGACCTCGCTGCACTCCTGTCCCTGCCATGGTCCAGCTGTGAGTTTTCGCATGAGTCCCTGAAATTCTCCTTTTCTCAGTTTCCTCATCTGTAAAGCAGGGACAGTAGTGTTGGCTTTGTCCTCTTCATGGGTTTGCTGTCAGCATCGAAGGAGATGTTTTGCATTGCCATTACTGGACGCTCTTTAAAAACCAGTGTATCAACCTACAAGTATTTATTAAATCCCTAATAGTGTGCTGAGTAATGTGCAGGAAGCAGAAAAGGGGAATTGGGAACAGATGGGAAGATAAAGAACAGGTTTCAGAGGCAATCCCTGGCCTCCATATAGGGAGGCAAAACCAGCACAAATGACACCATTGGCAAGCGAAGGACCTGACGAACGGTCAGCACTGAGGTGCGCTTGGCTGGCTGGAACCCTGCGGGCTCCGAACACGGAGGGCACAGTGTCCGGGGTTCTGGGCTCGCTCTGCGGCCGGTTCTGAGCCATCTGGGAGTCACCTAAATATTTCGGCTTTCGTTTCCTTGTTTTTAAGCTGAGACAGTTAGATTTAAAGTCCTCAAAGATCCTTTCTAGCTTTAAAAATCTGACACTAAGCAAAATTAAAAGGCAGACCAGGAAATATATTTTTAATAAATATGTCAGAGATGGATGTTCTTAATATGTAAAAGGGCTTTTAAAAGTCAATAGGAAAAAGATGAATGACCCAAAAGGAAAAAAAATAGGTAAATAATACAGAATTTTATACAAAGATTTTTCCCACTAATTATAGTAAAGAAAAATTGTAAACCATCTAAGTCCAAAGCAATAAGAATAGTTTCACTTTAATCATACAGTCATATTACATAGTCATTAATAATAATAATATTTTTCATAATACTAAAAATAAAGTGTTTATAATAAAAAAAGAAGGAATGAAATCTTTCAGTATTCCAGTTTTAGGTTTTGTTTCCCCCCAAAACAGAAAAGCAGACAGTTATGGGTAGATGATAAATAGGCTAAAAGGATATACATCAAAAAGTTAACAGCAGTTATCTCTGAATGTGGGTTAATGATTTTATTTCTCCTTTATACTTTTATATTTTTCTGAATTTCTGTAATAAACACATTATTTTCTGATTTAAAAAAATGTTTAATCTATGATGCAGCAGAACAGCAAATTCAGGGTTTTACACTCAGCTCCATTAACATTTCATTCTAGCACCAAAGTGATAAAACCTTCACTGAAATAAATCTTCAAAGGTTATTGAAAACGGCCTTTATTATTCTGCTGCTATTTCACTATAACAGCATCTGTCTCACTTAACTGTTGATTAACCTACCTATATTTTCAGCTATTCATAAAATTTCTTGAGGACAGGAATCTAGTCAAATTTACTCATCGTCGAATGCCATAATAGGCACTCAGTAAATGTTTGCTGAATGAAGGGTACGCATTGAGAGATCATCCATTGATCTAGAAGACATTGGGCAAGAGAGTGAGGGCTGGGCCTTGAAGGAGAGATCGCAGTGGCATATTCATAAATTCATTCATCTGTTCAGTGGACCTGCTGGGTCCCGAGCACTGTGCTGGAAAGAGAGGATACTGAGTTAGATAAGACATGGAGGTCCACTGCCTAGGGACAGAGGCGGAAGTGGAAAACAATGGTGGAAATAAAATAATAAAATTAGAATAGAGAGCACAAAGGAAGAGGCTGTTCATCCGCTGGTGCTGGAAGGTGGAGAAAGGACAAGGCCATAAGGACAATGACAGAGGGAAAGGGGGAAAAAGACAGGGATCAAAACAAAACCAAGGCTGGAGTGCTGGAAAGAGAGGCGGGCGTGGGAGACAGCACACTCAGACTACCAAAGAACTGCCTCTTCCTCCCCGTCACCCACCTCCACAGAGTTCAGGTGGGCAGCTACAGCACTAGAAACATGCACACCCATCAGGAGGGTTCATCACGCACCTGGTCCTGGGTTGGTGTCCCTGTCATGGAGTCCAAAGGACTCTCCCTGTGACCAGTGTCTTGGATCTGGATGCCCAACTCTGCAGGAGTCCCTTTCCCCACATGCTGGGCTGGGAATGTGCATCCAACTTTATGGGGGAAATTATATTAACCTTGAGAAGACTGGGGAGCCCATATGCAGGCCATCTGCAACAGAATTCCATCACCTCATAGTCCAAAAGGATGCTTGTTTCCAGTGGGGTTACCCTACCTGGTAAGCTGGTGGAACTTCTCCCAAGGCACCAGTGCCCCAGAAACACAGTCTTGTGCACACGAGGAAGGGGTTTCTTCATCCAGGAAATGCCAGCCTACCTCAGTGTCCTGGTTGCCGGCTCTGATCTGGAACACATTACTTGAACACAGGCAAATGTAAATTAATGTAATCTTCAGGTTGGGCTTCTCAGCAAGGTAACGAAATGTTGACATCAGCCTGAAAGTCAAATTAGGCTCTGTATTATGTGGTGTGACCTGAGGTGTTGACACCCTGGCCGTCTGCCTTCCGAGCTTCGGGAAAGCACGTGATTGGGAACAGAGCTCATGACTTCAACTGCTTCCCAGAACACCGCTGGACAGCAAAGAATCCTTGGTGAGCAAATCCACGAGGTTGCTTCAGCCTCTTCCAGGAAATGTGTGTGATGTGTTCATCATTCTTCACACCGTTACCAAATATCGACTACGTGTCTGGCACTCTGGTAGGTGCTGGAGGGCAGCAGGGGACTTCCAGAGGTAGAGCAGATACAGATCTAGCCTACAAAATCTTCCCAAGCCCATTGTGATCTCTGGTTACTACCCCATAGTTCTCCTCATTGTGCTGGCCAAGTTGCTGTTACCAGGTGCCTTTCCCTCCCCTCCTCCCAATCACCACTCAGTCCACTGCAGGTTGCCTCTGCCCCCTCCTCTCCCTGGAAGCTGCTCCCGCTGAGGACACCAGAAATCTCCTTGCTGTCAAACCCAGTGATGAGACTCATTCCTCTGGTTACCCAACCCCCTTTGAATGTTCACGCTGTTGATGCATCACTCTTTTGAGAAATCTTTTCTTC